TTTTTGAGTACTCTGTCTATAATTGCTTGGTTCCATTAACAAGGAATCTTACACAATTTCGATGAGTGGTATTTTGAAAGGGTGTGATTCATGGGAGTCAGGTTTTCTTGGGCTAAAGTGAAGAGTGGACTGCTCTGTGAAAGGTCAGCCACCGTTGTATGAAAACTAAATGAATTTTGAAACAATGCTTAAAAAACAAATAATGACTGTAATTTAAAATTTTCTAATAGAAAACAGTTCCTGTTAAAGTACTTCAGAGGATTTTTTGTGATGCTGTTGAGCTTATCTCTCTGTCTTAGTTTCTCCAATTTATAACGAAATTACTTTCTTATCTTTGTAAAGTGTAACCAGAGTGAATCTTTGTTAAATGAACCTCTATATTTTACATCATTAATTTACACAGTTTACCTGGTTTTCCTAATACTGTTCTGAGTGTATTCAACCTCGAAATGAGAAATGGGCCTGGATCTATATTCTTGTAGTTCTACAATTTTAATCTTGATTTCACTGAAGTAAATGGAGAGTGACATAACTGTACTGCTGTAATTGTATTAGTGAAAAACTGGCATAAGTGAGATCAAAATTCAGACCTATACATACTCTTTGAGGTTTGAAATCCAAATGTAAACTTTTTCATTCACATGTTTTTATTTATCTCAGTGTAGAATTTGGGCTTGAACCTCCACTTGGATTTGAAACTGTGCCTCTTCTTTGTTAATTAAATGGGATGAGTTGACTCTAGTTAGCCTGATCCAATATAGCTGCTAAACACATTCATGTTTTAGAAGAAACTAGCAAGCTTGTCTTAAATTTATATTTGTTGAAGCTTGTGACTGTCTTCTGCAGAAGGAAGAAGCTATGATAAGACAGAAGACACTACCACAGTTAGGACCATATGAACAAATCAAGGCAAGACTAGTGTAAGGGATAGTTCATCTTCAAACTGATAGCAGATGCAAAGGCTCAACACTGGCTGCTTTGTGGCTTGGCATGTGAGAGGGTGTTAACAGATAGCTGGAGAAATACAGTGAACATGTCCCAAAGAAAAACCTTGCAAAGCAACTTCTTTGTATATTGTGGAAATGATAATGAAGGAAGCTCTTTCCTGCTGTCTTGATCTTCTATGGTCCTCTCCCTTGTGAAAGGCAATCACACTTACTTATGGATACCTGGAATTTTTTGGTTAATATACCCTCTTAGTAAAAATAACCCCAAAAGGTCGTGAGTATTAACTCAGTGTTTGGTCAAAGAGGCAACAGTTTTTAAATATTGAATTCTTGTAGGCATGTGTTATATTTCCTAGGGAGAACAGACACAAACTGTTGGAGTGGGTCCAGAGAAGGGCAGCGAGGCTGGTGAAGGGTCTGGAGCACAAGTGCTATGAGGAGCAGCTGAGAGAGCTGGGGTTGTTTAGCCTGGATAAAATGAGGCTCAGGGGAGACCTTATTATGGAGACCTTATCAGCCTCTACAACTATCTGAAAGGAGGTTGTAGCCAGGTGGGTATTGGCCTTTTCTCCCAGGTAGCCAGCAATAGGAAAAGAGGACACAGTCTATAACTGCACCAGGGGAGGTTTAGAGAGAAGTTCTTCACTGAAAGGGTGAATAGACATTGGAATGGACTGCCTAGGGAGGTGGTGGAGTCACTGTCCCTGGAAGTGTTTAATGAAACACTGGATGGGCCCTTAGTGCCATGGTCTAGTTCATATGGTGATGTTAGGTTGTAGGTTGGACTCAGTGATCTCAGAGGTCTTTTCCAAACTGAGTCTGTGATTCTCTGAAACCAGACATCCCTCTTTTTTTTTTTTTTTTTTTTTTTTTTTTTTTTTTTTTTTTTTTTTTTTTTTTTTTTTTTTTTTTTTTTTTTTTTTTTTTTTTTTTTTTTTTTTTTTTTTTTTTTATGGAGACGTTGAGAAAAGGAAGGCATGTTTGCTTTTGGGTTGCTGTTATTTTCTGACTGTCTCATTTTATCTCTTCTGGCTCCCTGCATGTATTTGTGATCCAGTTCTGCTCCCTTTGGAATTTATGGCAGCCTTCTCCGTGACAGCAGTGGGTTGGAGGTATTTTTGGCTCTGGACATTTTAGTTCTAATGTCCTGACAAAATTCCAATACATGTAATTGTGTTCCAGCAAACTGAATTCTGCTTTTTTTGGTTTTAATATTTATTTATGTTTGCACAGAAACTAGAAATTCCAGTCAGTCATGATGCTAAGAGCTTTACCCCCGTGAAAGAATTGTATGAGCCCATTGCTCTGGAATTATTTTGCCTGGAAGATGGACACATGGAAGATGGCATTCACTTTTTGCTTAGAGGATGAATGGGTCTTAATTGCAAGTAATCTCTCACAAAAAGCTACGGAAGCACATTTTCAGATGTTGTCTGTATTGTGCC